GTTTAAAATATAAAATAACAACAAAATGACTATATGCTGATATTTATAGTAACTAATGTGATTTGGTTCTTATGAATAGATAGGTTAACATAACAAAAAAAAACAACATAAATATATTATATAAAAAAAAACAATTATCTACATGCTACTATAAATAACTAAAAACGAGGTTTTTATTTTAAGCAAAAAAGATTTCAGTGTTTAAAAAAAATCTAATTAAAATGGAGATTTCAGTAACAAAATAATAACAATAAATTTGTGTCCCAATTTAATTCGACATTTTCCACAATGATTTATTAAGAATGTCCCCTATTCAGGATACTAAAAACAATTCACCCCAATATTTGGCAGTAATTATTAGATTAAAATCAAAAAACCTGAAACAGGTTGATTTTTAGCCAAAAGAGGGATATTTTCCCTAGATTTGTGGAAAAATCTAAACGGCAGTCGCAATCTGCCATCGCCGCTATTGCCCTTTTAACGTTGCGCACGCTTCGATCTTTATGTAGTTTCGCTTTCTTCGATGACAGATTGCAACGTTACCATTCCGATTCTTTCCCAGATCAGAATAAGAATCGAAACGGCAACGTCGCAAATTGTCATCACCGCTATTGCCTTTTTGGGGTTGCGTAAGGTTCGATCTTTATGTCGTTTACTTTTAGTTGATGACAGGATTGCGACGATGTCATTCTGATTTTTTCCAAATCTTGGGTAAATCGAAACGGTAACATCGCAATTCTGTTATCGCCGGTTGTAGCCCACATTTCGATCTTTGTCGTTTTCTTCGAAGACAGATTGGGACATTGCCATTCTGATTTTTCCAGAAAATCGAAATGGCAACGTCGCAATCTGTCATCACCCTTTTGGAATTTGCGCACGCTTCCACAATTGTCGTTTCGCTTCCGTCGATGACAGTTTGCGACGTTGTCATTCCGTTTCTTCCACAGGTCTGGGTATAAATCGAAACGGCAACGTCGCAATTTGTCATCACCGCTATTGCCCTTTTGATATTTGCGCACGCTTCGATCTTCAAATTGTTTCGCTTTCTTAGAGGAAATTGCGACGTTTCTATTTCGATTTTCACCAGATCTGGGGGAAAATCTGTGCACCCTTCTTTACTGCTGCTTATTTGGGTAATTAAATGTCTTCGAATAATAAAAGAATTAGTGACAAACACGTCTGTCAAAAAATAAAACCATTGCCTTAAAAAAATGAATCAATTTGTATAAAGGTAAAATTGTTCATTTTAATTTATTTAAAATTTCTTATTGCTGTTTATACGGTTCTGGAATCCGTAGAAAATATGAATAACACAGTGTAATTAATCCATAAACAATTCCACTTTCAAAAATACAAATAAAGAATCCGATAAAAGGTTGTTGACCATTTTGCACGGTAAATATTTTTTAGATAAAACACTTTTTATCAGCATTGATTTGAACTTGATTGATATTCTTTTAAAATAATCAATAGAAGATAAGAACGTGAGGGTAGGAAATAGAGAAACAAATATATGTAGTCCCTATTCGACCATTCTATTTCGATTTCTAATTAATGGTTGTGCTCCTAAAGTGGCGCTGGAAAACATTAGATTGACAGTGTCTATGATATGAACGTTGATATTCGTACCATTTTGAAATAGACACAGTTCAGTCATTATATAATTTTTAAGGGTCTATTCTGTAGAAATTTAGTTAAAATTAATCGTCGGTTATAATAATAACAACTGGATGTTATTTTTAATTTTGTATTCTGAATTATTAGGTTATAAAGTATAACTTATGTCAGTAATAAACCTAGTCAAATATATTCTTTTTCTTATTTTTAAAGCTGCATTGGGCTTAATTTCAATTCACTTTTAGTCGTTGCTATGTCTATTTTAACTGTGATTGGCTATAAAATAGTTAATAACACAAAATTGAATAGAACAGAGTTGTGTTAAAATTTAAACGCCATAGTTACAAATAACCTTTTAACCTGGCGATTAAAATTAACTAAAACGTTACAGAAAGACCGCGTAATGTCTTAAATAATTTCAACTACCATAAAAATTAATTAAAAATGCACATGGTCGCACGACACAACTGTGCTGTCAAGAAATTTTAAGGAATCCTTTCATCACCACCATTTGTGGAAATTCTCGCAATTAGGGATAGAAAGAATTTTCTACCCAAAAAGAGGTTATAATGGCAAAGATTCAACGATCAATAGAAAGACAACTGCCGATTATCAGACTCTCATAAGGAACGAATGGATAACAAACCAAATTTAACAGAAAATTTGACATTAAGAAAAACTTGGAGAGACCAAATTCCAAAAAATTTCAAACAATAAAGCTATTGGGGTGGAATACTATAGTAAATATAGTAGACGGAATAGTACGAAGCAATTTTCAAATTAAATATACTCATAGTTACTTGATGGCAGATATGCCAGAATCGAGTAGATGAACAATAGCGCTTCCAGCGCGCTACTTTCAAAAATCACAGCAAAATGAAACTTTCTTAATAAAAATGTTATTTAAGGTCCCACTCATTTCTTAACTACTAGCGGTGCAAATGGCCGAGGCTAATCAGCCATTTTTAAATTTTTGTTAATTTCCTTGTATCTATTTTTCTCGCATTTTAAAGTGTATTCGAACGTGCTTTGCAGTTCTGACTTGGAGTACTGAACACATATCTGGAAAGGCCTATTTAAAAAGGACAAGGAATAAAGCTGAGAACGAGATGGAAGGTGGAGTAAAAACACTGTTTAGGAAGACCATAGATTTTAAACCAACAATTGAAGAGCAGTTGTTTCCAGAACCACCTAGATTTCTAGAAACTCAAGGTAGATAGGGATGGAATACCTATGCTAAAAATGAATATAGGTATCCTTAGGTCTATATTTACAAACCAAGATGCTTGACTGAGCACCATCCTTGAACTGGTACATTATTTTATTTCATACTGTCCACAACTTTAAATAAAATTTTAAATACGTTATTTGTCATTAGGTAATCTAAGTAGCCATTTTTGAAAAAATCATTATTTTGATGGAATATTGTCATTTTGGACCAGTTCAGTCCTGCTCTAATCCTTCAAGTCCTTTTCCTTATTTGTGACTTTTACGGTTTCCATTTTTCCGTTACCAAGATTATTCGATAAAATAAGTCAACCTCCGAACCCCCTATGGGACGTCTATGCTCATTAGTCGAAGAGAATCATCCATTTAGAAACAAACAAATAAGCGTAACATTGGTGTCAGAAGTGGGATACTAAAAATAAATAGGGGGTGAAAATGTCTAAAACTGAGTGATTTAAAAGTGACGGAACTAGGCGATGCTGGACTGAAAATGACGGAAAATAAATTAGAGTTGGAAGAGCGACTTAAATAAGCAATAGAACGTGATGGTTTGGATCCAGAAACGTTTCTATTTTCGGATGATGTATTCTGCTATGATTTATTTTAATATTTGTTTCTTCCGATTTGGAAAGTAAAATGTTTTCTTTAAAAAAAATTATTTCTTGCATATAAAATTTCTGCTGATATATCTTGTTTGAAAAATAGTTTCTTCCGGTATTTCTTATATGGAGAAAATAAGAGAGAAAATAAAAAGGAGGAAACCAAAAACATTGAGTTATAAAATAAATCACAACTCTAGACATTACTTAGAGAACTCAAAACTACTAAATTTCAAGAATTTCTTCAATATTTAACACTATCAGACGATAGCGATTATGAATTTGGGAAAGCAACCAAAAAACTTAACCTCATCAACAAATCCCGCCAATAAGAAAACGCAATGGAAACTGTATTCGTACCAAGAAAAAAAAAAGCACTAACATTTGGTGAATATTTAGAAGAAGCCAATACCATCAGATGAAGAAGACATGATAAGGGGTTATCTTGAAGAGAGAATAGAACCAGGAGAACTTATCCAGAAAATAAACGCTAAGAGAAATTCGAAATTAAATTAAAATAAATTTAACTAAGACAAAGCGCGTACGTTGGTATCAGAAGTGGGTTACTGTAAATAAATTATAGCTGAAAATGTTCAAAAAAACTGAGTGATTTAAAAATGACAGAGTTACGTTGGGAACTAGAAGATAGTGAACTGGTAACAACAGGAAAGGAACCAGAATTGGTAGAGCGACTTTAACAAGAAATAACATTTCTTCCGATATTTTTGTCTAAGATATAACTTCATTGAAAAATAAAATGTTTCTTCTGATATTTAATCTTTGGAAAATAAATAGTTTCTTCTATATAAAAGTGATGGAAAATAAATTGTAAGAAATAGAGAAAACAGAAAGGCAAATTGTGAAAAACATAGAGTTCTTCAATGGAGGAGAAAATAAAAGAGAAAAAAAAAGAAAATAGAGAAAACAAAGACAAGTTGTGGAAAACAAAGAGTTCTTCTATGAAAAACAAAATAAAAAAGATGGAAAAGAAAATAGAAGAAATAAAGAAAACAAAAAACTAAGTTGTAGAAAATACAAAAGAGACCAAGAACAATGAAATAAAGTACCATATGGTGAAGGCACCAGTTTAGAATGTTCGATAACAAGTTTGGAGCGCCAAATTTGTATATAAATAGGCTAAATTTTTCAGTTTAAGTAAAGATACCGTTCTGTTTACATAAATATTGTCAATGTAAATTAGTTTAATGGTAAATTAGTGTTTAATATAAATAAATTGATTCATAAAATAAATCTCTTTGTAAAAATAAACTAAACCTATAAAAATTTCAGGTATAAGCGATAAAATTACGATTAATATTAACGAATAATCTTGTTCAATTTATAAATAAATTAATAATATATCAGATTTTGAAACGTACTGAAAAGTAATGATGTAAAATGATTTTTGCCGGGACAGTACGAAATAAAAGATATTCTGACTATAACTTCACCTGCGTGCAATAATAATGAATCGCCCTGTAGATTAATTTACACTGTGCTATCTAATAAGGCCAAACCGAGAAACGGACAACTTTTAGGCACATGCATGACATTGAGTCACCTATAAATCGAATTTAACACCTATAATACTATCAAAATTTACTCTGAGATTTTTTCGTTAATTTTCTCAGTATTAGCGGCTACTTCGGCCAACGTTGCCAAACCGATCAAGTCGCCGCTAATGCCGCTTGAATTACCTTTGTTACCTAAATGAGTGATGCTTTGTTTGTTTTTTCTTTTTTTGGACCCAACTAGTTGCGAATCTTTGTTCAATTTTTGAACTTTTTTGCGGTGGTGGTGCTCGCCCTCCGATTTGGTTCTGGCTTTCCTTTTTTTGCTGTCGCGCTTGCGCTGCCAGAACTCGTCGTAGCTCAAGCTCGGAAGATTCGATATCCTTAAGTCTAGGTTGAAATTGGGCGGGAAGGTTTTCCCGCCGCTTTCTGAGGTCTCGGATATGCTGCGTTCGCGCTTGACTTCGACCTGGGGTTCTCGTAGCTCGATGTCGAAGTCGATTTTGATGTTGGTGCGTTCGGCGAGGCGCTTTATAGTATTTCCTAAATCTAGCTTTGGTGTTTCTGGTTTAATATTATTGTTGTTGTTTAATGAGTTAAGATCGATTTCCATTTTGGTATCGGAGCGGGTTTGTCTCTGTTGCACGAATTTCGAGGTTTCACGCTTGTTGCCGAGAAGTTTGCCTTCCAGCATAAAAATTTCATAGCGTTTACCCTTGCACATACGTTCGGATTTTCTAGGCTCTCTTGTACCGTTTTGATCTGAGGAGTCGTCCTGGTATTTAGCGGAACAGTCTTCATTAGTCTGAAAAAATGTAACTCAGTGTTGATAAAGATGTGTAATACACAACATTTTACTGACTAGAGCAAATTTTAATAATTCCCCAAAAATTATAAAGAATATTATTGAAATACATATAGGTATTAAGAGTTACTGCTCCATGGATAAGAAGTAATTTATCACCAAATTTCTCCTGTTATACCCAAGTCAAGTCAAAATGTTTTTATTGTTGAAGAATTAATTACATTATTATTAACAAAGATAGATAACTTAATAATATAAGAAAGTTAAAAATAAAAAGTTAAAAATTAAAATTCAAAGAAAAAGAAACAAACATAAAATTTTCATAAATTAAATTTTTTGTTGGTTTATTTTTATTTTTAATTCTGTCTAGATGCACAACACCAAATACAAATATGACAATCTGAAATTAAAATAAACGACTCAATTCTACCGATCTCAGAAAAATTCAACCAATTTGTAGTAGTCCTTTTCGAGCTAGAATTTCTTAACTTTCTATTTAAATATTTTTAAAGAGTCAGCACTTTTTATACTAATTGGCAGGTGGTTAAAATCTTCTTCCCGTTATACACAATAGAGCCATGTACCAAATCGGAAGAGGGTATAGGCAAGGGAAGCTAAAAATTCTTCGAGTACTACTGGAGGTAATAATATTACGTTTATATTTTTTTAAAGCTAAAAGTACCATTTCTTAAATAAACTGACACGTGAGTGTTTTTATATTGTGCCTAATAAAAAAAATGGCTTACAAGAGATACCAGCATTAACTTTTCACATATGTATTATGGCACTCTTCTGTAAGACAAAAACTCTAGTGAACAACTTGGAAGAATTAATTTATTAGCCAATCCCCATAAATAAAAATTCAGTTGCAGAAGGTCTGGTGATCTTGCAAGCCACGCCACTTGCCATTATTCGAAATAATGTAATTTAACTTCCCTTGTGCTGGACAACCATTCTGCTGAAACCAGTGTTCAAAAATCAGCTTCATCTGGTCCTAATTGACGCAATGCAAAAATTACTTCATATCTAAATATGTTTAGATTCTCACTTGGGTCCCGGGACATAACGGGGTACAGGGTAACGAGATTGCAGATAGTCTTGCAAGGAAAGGGGCTCAAACACCCTTTGTAGGACCTGAGCCGTTCTGCGGTATCAGCAGTAACATAATAGGAGAGATTAAAAAAGAATTGGGCAGTAGAAGAACCGATAATTGGAACAATCTCTTATGGCTGAGACAGGCTATGATACTTCTCGGTAAATATAACCAGAAAAGATTGGAAGCCTGTATCTGCCTGAGCAAGAACATGCTACGAATTGTAACAGGAGTCCTTGCCGGGCATTGCCGACTACCTTAGTAAACTGAGAGTAGTAGAGGATAATGAGTGCAGATTCTGTGAGGAGGACAAAACCTCCATTCACATTCTAACTGAATGTGTAACACTCCAGAATCTAAGGGCACTATAGCTAGGAGGATATCAAATAGAAAAGGGAGATTTACCTAACTTGAAGCCACTCCAAATCCTACACTTCCTTGAGAAGATAGGATTGGAAGGGTCGTTATAGGCAATGAGACATTTCCTTAGTGCATTAGCGACAGAAGGGGACACAATAGATCTTTAAGGTCGCAATGTGTTAACACCCCATTCCCAACATAATAGGTTTAGATACCGTCTATTGTGATTACCATCATAAATAAACAGACCAACTAAATAGCCACCTAAAAATAAGGTGGCCCTTTGCATTATTATATTCACATTTTCAATTCAGGGTAAATAATTTTACCGATTTTTTTTTTGTTTTATTAATTTACCCATTATACAGCACCATGTGTTAAAACCAAATTTCCTTTGTATTCTACGCTGTTGTAATAACTGAGGATTATCTGTACTCCAATAGTGTTCATTATGTCGTATTATATATTCCGTGGTTTGTTACCCAGGTCTCATCTGTGTATATGTTCGGTCAAAGATGATATTTCGGTCGTTAACGATATTGGCCGACTATTTTCGTAAATCTCCTATTTGATTGGGCATTCTGCTGACTTTAGTGTCCGGTCAATATCGTCAGTGCCCAATTTACAACACTGCCCGTAACATATATATAGAATGTGAAAAATCTGGACCTTTACCAATTAAACAAATTTTATTCCCTAAGTTTCAGGTTTATCCCATAATTATGTATCCTTATTCCGTCTTTAGTCAAATTTAGAAACGAGGAAGTCGGACCGCTAAGCGCTTCATTCACACGCTCGTTTCTCGTTTCAAAAGGGGATACAGTACTATGCTAGTCATAATTACAGAACTTTTTACACCCGAAATAACATTATTTTATATTTTAGTAATTGTAGCTAGTTAAGAAATATATTTACTATAATTTGAAAGTTATCATTTAAAGAATAATGCTCATTTGATAACGTTAATTTTCTATTATAGATGTGTCCAGACCTGCAAGACAAACCACCAAGATTCTGTCGAATCGTCATATGTAATGATATTGTGCCATATAGTTTTTTTATTCCCAGCTCACTATTCAAACAATCTTTGAACGAGAAACAATAAGTTCACACTGTCCATTCGCATTCATATTTTTTGTATTTTTAGAAGTCAATAGTTTTTATTTTATGTAGTTAAATCAGTCATTTGTCCATTCATAACATAACAAGATGCCATTTTTTAAGAAAATTTAATAAACTTTTTTTGCACATAAAAAAATACTGTTATATCGTGAAAAATGTGTATTCTAGGACTTGTATGAATTAGATAATTCATACAAATTTCTAGCTATGGTCGGCGAAGCAATAACTCTTAATTTATGAAATATGAAATTATTAGTAAAGATCGTTTTGAATTTTCTCACCTGACTTCCGGCATTCCCCGAATCCTGAGTAACATCCTCATCATTTAAAATGCTCCTGGCACACCCCTTGATACTGACTTCGTGATACTCCACGAACCGCTTCTTGATAGGCTTCGGCGGCATGCTGACTATGATAGTATTAACAGGACTGATCAATGCCTCCTCCATCTTTGGAATATTGTTATTACTCTCCGGCTCCGTCTTTGGCATGGAAACGAAATTGTTCATGAGGGAAGTGAGTCCGCCGAGCTGCGATTCGTCGGCCAACTTTCCGGGCGTGAATTCGGAGAGAGCGGAGGTAACGGTGGTGGTAGTTGGGGCGCTGGAAGGACTAGATATGGATGGGTGAGGTTTTGGAAAGGTCAGAGGTCGAGTGGATAGCGTTCGGAGAGGTGGAGCGGGTAATTTGTACCATCTGAAGTCCGGGTTGGCCGATAAGAAGGCGTCTTTGTACTGAAAATTTTAAACAAACAAGCATTTGAAAGATAGTTAAGAGAAGTGAAATATCGGAGGCAGATTAAGAAATACGGAGGTGTTCTATTTTAAAAGAAAATAATCAAGCGTTTAACGACAGAGGGAATTAGGTGTACAAGGATAGGAAATTATTCCCCAGATCTGGGGGAAAATTATGAATATCTGTAGATATGGCAACATCGCTTTTAAATATAGTAGTTGTTAAGTACTTTTCATATTTCTCCAGATACCAGTGTTGCCGTTTCGGTATAATTGTACTGAATTCAGTACGAAATGATTACATTCAGTATTTCAGTATAACTTTATAAAAAACCACGAATTTCAGTACGAAATGCGAAAATTAGAAAAAAAATTAAAAATTTGCAGCGTTTTTAAACTGTAAAATGTAAATTATTAAATAGTGTGTGTACTGCCATTTATCAGTAAAAAGACAAATAACTTGGCTTGACATTACAGGGAAATTTCAAAATAAACTTTGTGGTAGGTTTGGACGTACTTAGTTCTCCGTTCTATACTTCTCTAACTCCAATGTTCAGTTGCAATTTGTAATCGCTGCAGCTTTGTGTTTATTGTTATTGTATGCTGAATAAAATGGGCAGTAAGAAATAATTTGTTGTTAATAAATAAAGGCTATTTTCTCACATGAGAATATAATATGAGTGACTCAGAAATAGAACTAAAAATATATTGATATAATGGTTCTATTATAAAAATTTTATATTCAGTACATTTTTTCCAGGTCAGTACATTTTTCAAAAATTTACAGTACAATTTTAAAAATCGTCGCGGCTATACTTCCAGACACCTTCTAGAATATTTCACCATGTGAACGCAGTGTTGCCATATCTACAGATCTTCCTAATTTTTCCCCAGATCTGGGGAGAGAAATGCGGAACTTGGTAATAAAATAAAAACAATAAAATTAGATTTACCTTACCAAATATTCCAAATTTTAATATTTCTAAAGCATTTTAAGAATAAAAACGTTTTTTTTTTATTCAACTAATTTTCCAAATTTCCCAGGCTTTTTGTAGCGTTTCTAACATATTTTAAATAATAAACAAACATTTCTTTAAAGGGACCAGTCTGTAGTTTTTTTTAAGAAATACGGAGGTGTCCCATTTTAAAAGAAAATAATAAGCGCTTAACGATAGCAGAAGTAACTAAGGCACTTCACGCCATATTCCAAATTATTCCCCAAATCTGAGGAAATATTATGAATATCTATAGATATGGCAACATCGCTTTTAAATGTAGTAGCAGTTATAGTATATTACATTACGAGTGTGGAAAGTGACATTTTTCACACGAGTGGGAAATATTGTCGCACGAGGCGTAAGCCGAGTGCGACTATCACACGAGTGTGGAAAATCACTTTTCACACAAGTGATGTACAATATTTTTCCTACGACCACAAAATAATTTCATCAAAAAATGTAAAACCAGATTATTATAATAATTAAAATGTATTTAAAAAAATAATCAACAATAATCGTATTTATTAAATTTTCATAATTTCTAAACAAATAAAAAAAATAAAAAAAAAATTCTGGCACAGCCAGGATTCGATCGCGGTCGTTGGACGGTCTCAAATTGCAAAGTTGATGCTCTAACCAACTGAGCTAACAGGCCTTACGGTAATTGATTGATCTAATCGCTTATGTGTTTAACCAGAATAAAAAGCAAATATATCTTAGTTATTTTAAAATTATTTTAAAAATAATTGTTAAAGATAAATATCTAGGATCTAATTTACAATAATTTAACAATCATATCGATTTTAGTATTAATATGGACATTACATAGATCAAAATAGAAATTATGTGTTTGACATTTTCTGACAGCTACTGCGGAAAGTAGCATATTCTCACTTGGGTGGAAAGTAAATTCTTATTCATACGCGTGTGATATAGGGCACTTTCCATAGGTCTATATAGTGTGATATGCGTCACTTTCCTAAGTGGTCGTAGGAAAAAGTACTTTTCATATTTCTCCAGACAGCTTCTAGAAAATTTCCCCATGTAAAAGCGATGTTGTCATATCTACAGATTTTCATAATTTTCCCCAGATCTGGGGAAATTGCGAGAATTTGATAATAAATTAAAAACGATAAAATTAGCTTTACCTTGCTAAACAAATATTCTAAATTTTAACATTTCAAAAGTATTTTAAGTTAAAAACATTTATTTTTTCATTCAACTAATTTTCCAAATTTCCCAGACTTTTTGTGGCGTTTCTAACGTATTTTAAGTAATAAACAAACATTTCTTTAAAAGAGCCAGTTTGTTTTTTTTTTAATTGGTTTATGTTTCGTTTTTCGAATCTAATTTTTCAAATTTCCTAGACTTTTTCTGGTGTTTCTAAAGCATTTTAATAAATAAAACTTTCTTAAAATGATCCACCCTGTATTTTTTTATTGTCTGATGTTTCGTTCTCATTTAAGGGTTTTCCTAAACTAATTCCCCTGGTGTTTCTAAACTTCTTTATATATTTTTGTAATTGGACCATGTTTAATTTATCATTTAAGGTTTTTGTCAAACTAGTTTTCCAAATTTCCCAGACTTTTTCGAGTGTTTCTAAAGCATTTTATAATTATGAGTTTTTTTTTTATTTAGTCGATGTTTCGTTTCTTATTTATTGTTTTCTCCAAATTTTTTAAATTTTCTAGACTTTTTTAGTGTTTCTAAAGCATTTTAATAAACAAAAATTTATTTTAAAAGGCCACTCTTTTTTTAATTGGTCGATATTTCGTTTCTTATTTAAGGTTTTTCCAACTAATTTTCCTAATTTCCCAGACATTTCCTGGTGTCAAAAGTATCTTAAGTAATATACAAAAATTTCTTTAAATGGGACACTGTATTTTTTGCAAAAAAATGGAAGTTTCGTTTCTCATTCAACTAATTTTCCAAATGTCCCAGTCTTCTTTTGGTATTTCTAAAGCATTTTAATAAACAACAGTTTCTTAAAATGATCCACCCTGTATTTTTTTATTTTTTGAAATTTCGTTCTTATTTAAAGTTTTTCCCAAACCAATTTTCTGGGTGTTTTTAAAGGATTTTAAGTAATAAAACGTTTTTTAAATGGGACATGCTGTGTATATTTTTTGTAATTGGACCATGTTTAATTTCTCATTTAAGGTTTTTATCAAACTAATTTTCCAAATTTCCTCGACTTTTTTTTAGTATTTCTAAAGCATTTTATGAGCCACTCTGTATTTTTTTAACCGTTAATGTTTTCGTTTTTTAAGGTTTATTCCAAACTAATTTTCCAAATTTCCCAGACTGTTTCTAGTGTTCCTAAAGCATTTTATGAGCCACTCTGGTTTTATTTTAAATTGGTCGATGTTACGTTTATTATTTAAGATTTTTCCTAAACTAATTTTCTAAATTTTCTAAACTTTTCTGAAGCATTTAAATAATAAACAAAAACTTCTTTTAAATGGGAGTCGCTGTATATTTTTTGTAAAAAAAAATTGGAGCATGTATAATTTCCCATTTAAGGTTATCAAACTAATTTTCCAAATTTCCCATACTCTTTCTAGTGTTTCTAACGCATTTTATAAGTAATTATAAGTATTTTTTTTATTTGGTCGATGTTTCGTTTCTTATTTATGGTTTTTTCCAAACAAATTTTTCAAATTTCCTAGACGTTTTCTGGTGTTTCTAAAGCATTTTAATAAACAAAACATTGTTTAAATGAATCACTGTGTATTTTTGAGATTTTTCCCAAACTTCCATTACTTTTCTGGTGTTATAAAGCATTTTACATTAAATTAAAAATTTTCAGGACGATATATTTGGATATTTCTACATAGTTCGCAAATAATTCAAATTAGAACAAAAACAGTATTCTAAAGCAAAGAATTCTTGCATAAAAATAATCATTATTCCCTGACTTTTGTACCAATTCAACTGAAATGTCCATAACAGTACTTTACATAAAAATATTTTAAATATCAAAATGAGAACAACGAAATGACCAGCGCCTAATAAAAATACGGGGTGAAAAGTTCCTTCTTTTGTAGAAAGTTTCTAAAAATGAAAATATATTGAACCAAAACAATTTTATAAACATCTAGAAAGTTATTAACAAAAAGATTTTAAAAGCATACAAAAAGTGTAGATTTTTTTTTATTCTATTTCAAACTTCTGGGACATTATTCCATTTCTGCATACACCGTTCATTTATTAATACAAAAAAAAAGATTATAACATGAAATAAAGAAATATTGTCTTTACCTCCTTAGCTAAATCATTATATGGCAGTTTTTCGACGTTGTTCAGCAACGCCCACCATTCCCCCAAAATCTTCGTAACCCCCCGATTCTCTAAATTCGGAAATCGATCTCTAACAATTGGTCGGTGCTTCTTACAAAATATCAAAAAGGCATTTGGTGGCCGCCTGGCGTGATGAGAAGGCGATTCTTCTTTGGTACTCTGCTCTTGCTCCTGGACATCTTCGATTTCGCGCTTTATCGCCGGCAAATTTTCCAGTTTTTCCAATTTTTCCGGCATCGGCGCCACCTCGGGAACAACGGCCGTGTCGATCGCCTTCTCCACCTCCCAGGTCATTTTAATATTGTCGAAATTTCCGGCGATCGGATCGCTTTTGATTTGGCTCTGGCTCATTTTCATTTTGTGTTTGGACCAAAGTTCTTTCAGCGTCTTTTCTTGCCCATTCGGAGACAACTGATTGTTGTTTTCGGTGAACTGTCTGTTATCGCTGAATGCGGTTTTCGAAGGTGTTTCTGATAAAAGGAAGGTGTTGTGTGGTTTCATAAAGCTGTTTTGGGTATTTTGAACTGATAGATAATTCATATTTGTGAATCAAAGCGATGAGAAAGAATCATAACGGAAAGAAACCTAGAACAAAAAGAATTTTTTAAGAGAATATTTTTTGAACATTTTTCGATCTTTATGTAAGTAGTACAAGGGTAGATCAACTTTATACTCCTTGTAATACACCTCTTTTAATTTTAGTAACCTGTTAATTTCTGGAATTTCTGTGAGTAAAGTGTTTATGTTTTATTTATCGATTTATATTTTCTGGCATACTTTAGTACACCTGTAACCAAATTGTGGAACCCTAGAGTTTCGTGGAAGGATCATCAGTGTTCCGGAAAGAATTATAACATAAAATAATTACAGTTTCATATAGTTTGTATAAAATATGCAGGATGTAACAAGATTGGTCATAAATTATACCACATAATCTATGGTCAAAAATAGGCCCACTGAACATAACTATGTACAAAAATGCACATAAAAGTTACAGGGTGCTTCAGTTTAAAATTTTAAATTATTTTTTTATACATAAACTGTTTAACATTTTTTCTTAAAATTTTATATGGCACGTTAGAATACAATAATAAAACCGAGGTAGAGGCAATATATATATTTTTTTTTCTATTTTTGTAGGTTTTTGGTGGGGTCACCTACCTTTAGACCACCCTACTTTTTATTTTATAATATTCCTATATTTCTATATATTTCCATATATTTCTATATATTTCTATATATTTCTATATATCTCTATATATTTCTATATATTTCTATATATTTCTATATATTTCTATATATTTCTATATATTTCTATATATTTCTATATATTTCTATATATTTCTATATATTTCTATATATTTCTATATATTTCTATATATTTCTATATATTTCTATATATTTCTATATATTTCTATATATTTCTATATATTTCTATATATTTCTATATATTTCTATATATTTCTATATATTTCTATATATTTCTATATATTTCTATATATTTCTATATATTTCTATATATTTCTATATATTTCTATATATTTCTATATATTTCTATATATTTCTATATATTTCTATATATTTCTATATATTTCTATATATTTCTATATATTTCTATATATTTCTATATATTTCTATATATTTCTATATATTTCTATATATTTCTATATATTTCTATATATTTCTATATATTTCTATATATTTCTATATATTTCTATATGATTCTATATATTTCTATATATTTCTATATATTTCTATATATTTCTATATATTTCTATATATTTCTATATATTTCTATATATTTCTATATATTTCTATATATTTCTATATATTTCTATATATTTCTATATATTTCTATATATTTCTATATATTTCTATATATTTCTATATATTTCTATATATTTCTATATATTTCTATATATTTCTATATATTTCTATATATTTCTATATATTTCTATATATTTCTATATATTTCTATATATTTCTATATATTTCTATATATTTCTATATATTTCTATATATTTCTATATATTTCTATATATTTCTATATATTTCTATATATTTCTATATATTTCTATATATTTCTATATATTTCTATATATTTCTATATATTTCTATATATTTCTATATATTTCTATATATTTCTATATATTTCTATATATTTCTATATATTTCTATATATTTCTATATATTTCTATATATTTCTATATATTTCTATATATTTCTATATATTTCTATATATTTCTATATATTTCTATATATTTCTATATATTTCTATATATTTCTATATATTTCTATATATTTCTATATATTTCTATATATTTCTATATATTTCTATATATTTCTATATATTTCTATATATTTCTATATATTTCTATATATTTCTATATATTTCTATATATTTCTATATATTTCTATATATTTCTATATATTTCTATATATTTCTATATATTTCTATATATTTCTATATATTTCTATATATTTCTATATATTTCTATATATTTCTATATATTTCTATATATTTCTATATATTTCTATATATTTCTATATATTTCTATATATTTCTATATATTTCTATATATTTCTATATATTTCTATATATTTCTATATATTTCTATATATTTATATATTTCTATATATTTCTATATATTTATTTCTATATATTTCTATATATTTCTATATATTTATTTCTATATATTTCTATATATTTCTATATATTTCTATATATTTCTATATATTTCTATATATTTCTATATATTTCTATATATTTCTATATATTTCTATATATTTCTATATATTTCTATATATTTCTATATATTTCTATATATTTCTATATATTTCTATATATTTCTATATATTTCTATATATTTCTATATATTTCTATATATTTTTTTTGCACGGTTGAATAGAGAATAAAATCCCCTTTCAAATGAGCTATCACTCACCACCCCATGCCATTTAAATTTTTCGAAAGGGTTTTTACCCTCCAGTAAGGGATGAAATTAAGGGTTAACTAATCATGCAAAAATGTACATTGTAGAAATTAAAAATCGACCTGTCTCGGCGTTTTTCCTAACAAGACCCCAGTAACGAGTTAGTTAGGGGGGTAAGACTTAAGATGCTCACTGTATATTTATGAAATCCAAAAAAGATCATTTCAAAAATTTAATAATATACAGGGTATGCAATAGAAAAAAATACTTTTTCGTATCCCCTGAAATCTGTCATAACCACATAATTTTTATTTAAAACTTTTTTTCTATAGGCAAGGAGTGGGTAATTTATAATGAATAATAATGATGATGATACTCTCCCTATTCATCCCCTTATAAGTGAATGTTTAATCCCATAAGCAGAGCTTGTGAGGGGTAAGCCCTAATATATTTAATATATCCCCTGCATAAGTTTTTAAATTTAAATTTGATTTATTTAATGGTATGTTACAAAATTTTTTTAAATAAAATTTATACGGCTATTATTATTTGCCGTGGCGCTTCAGGACGACTTACAGACGTTTGATGGTGCCATTTGACTTACAGATGAGGAAAACCCCACCCATCATCAACACAGTAACTCACTGGGATTACTCTAGAAGGCATATCAACAGAAATTATATTACTGCTATTACGCCATCCAACAAATCCTACAATGAACAATGCAGATTAATGAAAAATTCACATTGGTCTGCTGTAGGATCCGAATCTATGTGTCAACTGTCAGTACTTAACTTTAGATCCTAAATAATTAATCTGAAAGTTTATAGGCATGTCAAAAACCCTTCTAGAGTTTGTCGTAAAATAAAAGCCTCATTTAAGGAAATCTGTTTTAATTGCCATTGAAATGATCAGCAATTCAAACATCCTTCTCCTCAAACTAAACCTTTATTTTCCAATAAACTGCTGAAATAATAAAAATATCCAATATTAACCCTTCAGTCAGCCATCGCAGTTTTAACAGTTAAAATTGTAAGGGGCTTTTAAAGGCCCTTTAACTGTATGATGGCAAAGTGATTATGGGATGTTAAAAGCCCTGTAACTGTTATTGATGGCAAAATGACTGTGGTCTGACAGTCGACGGTAGTGACCTATACAGGGTGTTCCACATAAGTACTGACACAGAACAGGTACATGTTGGGCACCTCAAAATATGATGAAATGAGGCCATAAATTTCGAAAAAATGTAATATCTATGCAACCGTTCAACTTAAAAAAATCTCTATTTGGTAAATTATTTAGGCGCTTAATTTGGGGGCAAGTAAGAATTAATTGAAATATTTTAAGGGGTGTTTTTGAGGTGACCCACCCTTATAACTATACAGAATTTTTTTGTACTTCAGCCTATTTGTAAAATTTTAATTTAATTTTTGGCAAAATTTTATTATAAAACTTTTACTTTTTAGTAAAATTAATATTTTTCGAGAAAAACGTGAAAAATTAAATCACTGCATTAATACAAAAATCACCTTTAGTTGGCCATGCATTTCTCAATGAAATTCAACAAATAGCACATTACTTTTAATAAAAAATCGAGAAGCACCTAAATAAATTATCAAATATAGATTTTTTTATATTAAAAGGTTGCAGGGATATTACATTTTTTTTCAAAATTTATAGCTTCCGTAACTCCTTGGGGGTACAACTTGGTACTTTAAGAAAACTTCAAGAAATCTTCTAAAAGTAAATTACTTATAACAGGTGATTTCAATGTAAATTTTTTAGATCCAAATGACCAAAATGCCTCTAATATTAAAAAGCTTTTTTTATGCTACAATCTGCATCAAGCAGTTCACCAAAATACTAGATACAATAAATGTTTAGATAATTTTTTTTATAAATTTTGACATTATAACTGTATCTGTAATTGAAATGGGTGTCTCGGATCATAGGGGACAGTTAGTAGAAACTCAAGAAACCTCTGAAATAAAAAACAACTTAACTTGTATTAAAAATTATTATTCACACAACAATATTGAACTATTTCTGAACTATTTAAATTCTGAAAAAAGGCTAGAAGTTTATGATTCATATTTGGCGAAAGATAAATATAATGCTTTTATTACAATCTTCAGTTCATATTACAATATATGTTTTAAATCCAAACCTCAAATGCAGAATAAAAAGCAGGGCTCTTATTGGGTTTCTCCCACAATTACGGAGGCAAAAAATAGACTGCTGTTTTTGCATGAATGGCAAAAACAGCATCCTAGTACTCAAAATATTCATTACAAATTAACATATTTAAAAATTTTGGGAGCAGTGAACCATGATTTTTGCAATAATTATATATTAAAATCTGATGATAAGGCAAAGACTTTGTGGAATATTATTAACAAAGAAATTGGTCGAAAAAAAAAACAAATACAAAGCCAGAAAATTTAACTCCTGAAGATCTTAATAATGTTTTTATTAATAATGCGGAAAATAGTCCAATAAAATAGACCTTTAAATCAAAATTTTGGAGGAAATACAGGAATTTTTGATATAAGTCACTTAAGGAGGTCCTTTCGCCACCAATGTTAAATAAAAAATATTAGATTATGACTAAAATTAATTTTTTTCTAATAGTAGATGTCCTTATTTATCTAA